AACACCCCCCTCAGGAGAGGCCGCGCCGAGGCTTTCAAAATGCCTGACGGTGCCCTTTTCCCTTTTTTTTTTTTTTAATGTTTTCTTCCCCAAAAATAAAACCCAAAGCTATTGCAGGGGGACGGCAGGAAGGGCTTTTTCACGCCGCGCTGGCCCAAGGGCTGTTCCTGGCTATCTCCTTCGGGGTTTTGACAGTCAAGAGGAATGACTCACTGGCGTGCAGGACTGGGTTGGTGCCAAGCGCCATAGGATGTACCGTGCTTTAAAATGACTCCTCGCAGGGCTTATAAAGCAGCGTCAAAATTGTGCAACTTTTTGGCTCGTTTGGAGCCCGAGAAAATATCATAATTGGTGGCATGTGCCACACTCGCACCTTCGTCCTGGTAAACTTATTTTAGGGCGATTTGCTGGAGAAACATGAGTGGGGAAGGAAATGGCTTCTGCCTGCAACGTGCTGAGAGGGATTGTTATTTTGGCAGTTCTTAATGAAGATACTATAAATACGTGTTTATGTGTAGCTTCTGAAATTGTGGTTATTTTGAAGTTGGTAAGGTTCTTGCAACAAAAAAAAGAAAAAGCTGAGTTTCTCTTGCGTGGATTGCCATGACCTAACAGGCTGGAAAAATGTGGCCAACTCATTTCCAATAAAAACCTGCCGGTTCTTTGTTTGGGGTTTATTTTTTTTGTTGTTTAATTTTGCAAATTGGACAAGAGGAGGGGAAGTGGGTCCTTGTCTCTTGGTTTGAGAACACAGGGCCAAACCTAACCCAATTCAGTGGACAAAATCTAATGCTCATCCAGCCTTCATCCTGTGGCAAGATATTGCTCCAAATGTGTTTTCCTGCAGGGCTTGGTGTGGAGGTGAGTGTCGGTGTAAAACAGCGAGCACTTGGCTCTGATGGTTGGTTGGGGTTTTCTTCCCTTAATTGTAGGCTGCAGTTTGTTTTGGAGTAAATTCTTCCTCCACGTGCCACTGCGCTGCCATGCTGGTGGAGGCTTCAGCTGGATGGGTTTCATGTGTGTCCCTACCTGAGCTGGGGAGGGAAGCTCTTGGGTCACACCACCTCTTGTGGGGTCACCAGTCAACCCAACAACGTTGTGCTTCAATCCCTGGGAGATGGGGAGTGCTGGTGGCCACGGGGAGCTGGTATCCAACCCATTCCCAGGCCACCAATAGCCTTTTTATTGGGGTTTGGATGTGGTGGCTTTCAGGATAAATGATGCCTCGTGGTCCTTACCCCCAGCGGCTCTTGGAGGCCATAGTTGGGCTTGTCAGAGTTCAGTCCAGGCCTTTGCCTTGCAGGGCACAGCGAGGTGTTTTAGGTAAGCCATGGTTTCCTCTGTAAGCTCCTCGCTTCCAGCCTTGCATTGATTGATAGCGTCGCTGAAGCCGGTGACTCATGGGTTGTTTTTTCATTTCAGTGGTGGGTGAAGTGATTTGATTTTTTTTTTTCCTCCAATATATATGGTGTTAAAAGAAATAAGGACAGGCTCTCCTGATAAGTTTTCTCGAGCTGTCAGAACAATGGTAGTATAGCGTGCTATTTGCCCTAGATATCTGGCTTTAATTTGCATAGCTATTCTTGTTTCACAGAGTGCACTGTGAGCAAATGTTAACAGCCAGATTACAAAAAAAAAAAAGGACCACTGTCAAGATGCCTTTTAAAATAACCCTCTTCAAGTAAACAACAAAGGAGGTCTCCCTCCATTTTTTTGCCTTTTTTTTTTTTTGATAATTTCTTGAGAACAGCTAGATAAGATTTTGAGTTTCGAGACAATTTATAAAACCGAGGAGAGGAAAAAAAAATGGGGCTTAGGATGCTGTAAACTCATCGGTCCCTTCACCACTGCACCATTTCGGATCGATACTTAGAGGTCAATTTGTCATTGCAAAGCGAGCGCCTCAGTCTGCATCTCAGCCTTTATTTCTGCTCCCACTCCTTCCCCCCCTCCACACGTCGCAGGGTTGGGGGAGAGCGGGGACGCCTGATAATAAATCGGAGCCATAAAGCTGCGACGGTGGGAGAGTTTTCGGGAAGTGCTGCCTCTGTATCCAGACGATGGGCAGCTGCCCACTGCGAGCGGTGACCCTCTCCAAACCCACCAGCTCCCAGATGGGCTGCCGGTGTCTTTCCGTAGGGAGGATGGAGCTGAACCCTTAAAGTGACTCGGTTATGGCCGGAGGCTGCCGCCTGCTCGTTCCGATGCACGGTTCCAAGAAAGTCACAGGAAGTAATTAAATGGAAAAGGTCAGAGAACGAGGAAGTGTTGGTCCGCAGCCTCTCGCTGCCTGGGATGGAGCCGCGGTGCCCTGCCTGAGCCCGTGTCCCCGAAGTGTCCCCGCAGTGTCCCCGCTCCTCGGAACGCGCGCTTGATTTATTCCGGCGGGCTCAGAGCACGCCTGCCAAGTGTTTGCAAGTGGGACTGGTCCCCCGGAGGTTTTTAACGAGCTGGGTTAAGTGGGATATGTGTAGGGCTGCTGTGGTGTCGTCCAGGACAGCAGAATGTGGTGTGAGATCACACCGATGCGTTTTTCCCAGTCTAGGCAAAGAAAATTAAACTTAAGCCTCATTTGTTCTTTTGCTGGTCCCAAAACCCCACTTCCCTCCACCCCTGAGCAGAGATCAGCGATGCTTGTCTAAATACTGAGTCCATCAATGTTGCAGTTTGCCCTTTATGCTGAAAAAAATAATTTATTTCCTTTTTTTCCCCCCC